TTATTTTTTTCTATACGTAATTTTTGTTAAGTATTTTTATTTTAAAAAATTTAATTATTATTTGTATAATATGATAAAATTTCATCTAAAATTCATATAAAAAAGATAAAAAGCTAAACTAAAAATATTAAAGTTGAATGAAGGTAGTTATGATTAATAAAGATTATTATTTATCAACTAGATTTGCAAAAAAAAATAATAATAATAATAATAAGACAAAAAAAAACACTCAAAACTACATCAATTCTTTTTTGGAAAGGTAAAATAGATAAAACTACATCATTTTAATAAATTTTCACAAAAAAAAGACTAACTTTATGTTTGAGTTGAGTGGAATGGAGGAGAGAGGAAGAGAGGGAAGGAGAATTATATCCTTCCATTCCCCTCCCTTCCTCTCTCTTCCATTCTCTTTATTTGAATAAGTACTAAATTAAAAAATAAATAAAGGAAAGGGAATTCTTCTCCTCCATTCCTCCCCAATTTTTTTTATAACTAAATAAAGAATATTTTTCCCTCCCCTCCCCTCACCTTCATTTCTCTCAATTTAAATATGCTGTAAAACAATTATATTCTTATTTTAAAATTTATGATATTTTAATTTTTTTTCAATGAAAATTTATTAAAACGACATATGTTTTGTTTGATGATATTTCTCCACACTTTAAATTTTAGTTCTCATATCTTTTTATACTTTTAAAAAATATAAAATATTAAACAAAATAAATTAAATATATTTTATATATTTTTAAGATATTAAAATATCAAAAAACTAACCATTACAGTTATAATTCAACACTCTTAAATTAAGCAATAATTTTATATTATTTTTTCACTTAATTTTTTTTTTTGTAGATCCGACTATTAAAGATTTTCTTCTAATTAATATATTAAATATCAAATTTATTTTACCCCATAAGTTTGTAGTTTATTACAACCGAACTCAAGCTAATTTTCTACGATACGTAGTTTATATATGGTGCCAAAATTCTTTGTCAGTGTCGGCCATGGCTAGCTAGCTTAGCTGGATAACATAGAAATCCGATTAATTACTTTATTTTTTGTCGTTATAGGATTTCAATTAGTTAGGTTTAATTTAATAACTCCATTAATATTGTACTATAGAAGACGACTAGACCGTTATTCTTTGAATCATATTTAAATTTAAATGCTAGTATTTCAATAATATAAGTAGGTCGAAGATATTGGTCACGAAGATAAGATAATAAAGTATATATGAAAAGCTGACAACATAATAAAAAAAAGGATATATTCCCATAAAAGAAAAAAAAATACATATATTATAGAAGTAATTGATCTCAGTGATAAGGATATTTGGCCTAATTAAATTAAGGTTAATTGTCATTATTTAGTCCTTAAATTTTTAATAATGAATAATTTTAATTTTTGAATTATTTTTCACGCTTTTTTTTGTTTATAAACTATGAAAATACACTTTTTGTTTATTCCGTTAC